TTGCTAGCACACCGCCTTGTGTCCACCCCCCAGCACATCGCCCAGTGTCTAGCTCTAATACCATTTGTAACGACCCAAGCCCACCACTAGCAGATATAGTCCTCTTCGGGCTTTCCCTCCAGAACTTCCCTCAACGTTTTTAAAACGCGTCTACTAGGGAGAGGTTTTCACATAACTCATAACAAAACGTGCTCAACAACAAACTTACAGGTCCATCAATTGTGTTAGAGAGGCAAGTGCAGAGGGAATGCTTCCAGTAAACTGATTAGCTGATAAAGAACTAAACAAAGAAAGTGACCATGTTAAATATGCCAGAAAAGGAGCATTACAAGATGATTATCACTTCAAGGAAAAGTAACATACAAACTTCTTAGTGTAGCAGGCAATGCAGATGGAATAATCCCTCCAATATGGTTATTGCTAAGATCTCTACTCCATAAAACAATAGAAAAAAACTCAATTAGACCCATCATTAAGAACCACATTCACAATGGATTCACAATGAAGATGAAACTTACATTGATATTATTGACTCAAATTGGTCTAAGCTAGTGCCTAGCTCTCCTCCCAAATTCAAACCACTGAGTTGTCTGGCAAAAGCAAATAATTGTTCCATTATTAACAGAGGAAACGAAGTTAGCTAATGCAGAATGAATTGAATTCACATACATCGCTGTTATATTTGAGAACACACACTCAACCCCTTGCCACTTCTCTCCACATGGATCACCTCCCACAAGAATCCATCCTCGCAAAGGAGGGTAGCCAAGAGCAATAAATAACGCATTGATTGCAGCAACTAAAAACAACAAAACAAGTGAAGAGTAAGAACAAGAACCAAAAGGCTAAGGATGCGATTTTCAAGTATTATCCATATGGGTTTTCTCAGATTTTTCAGATAACCACACAGAACAATGGAAAACAACTCTCTAGATGTCTGCCTTACCATCACGGAGGTCAGTATCTCCAAAGCAAAAAGGGTTGGTGAAGAGCAAGAGCAACCCAATTAAGATCTTCATGAACAAATTCCAATGAGAACGACCCATTAGCTAAACAGCTCTACTCTAAATCCGACTTGAATTTTCTGGTTTGTTTTGGCCGCCAATACTTAATCTAGGGTAAACAATCAGCCAATCCAGAGCTAACCCTCTTTCAAAAACAGCATCCAAATACAGATAAGAAAAACTCCAAAGCATCTAAGATCAAAAACCCACAAACCACAATGGAAAAATGAGGCAAAGAAGCACAAAAATCAACAAAATGAAAAGATGGGTAAGCCTCCTTAGCCAAACATGATGGGTTTTTTTCTTCCTTTTCTTCCAGAGACGAAAAGAGACAAAGGAATAAGGAAAAGAAACAAACAAATACCAAATAGAACAAATGCAAGTAAAGTAGAGAGAAGAGGAGGAGGAGGAGGAAGCGATGAAATGGGCTCTCCCGTCCAAGCTTTTGTTGCCTTTTTTTTCTTTGAATTTGAGCACTCTGTTCCAGCAGAGAAGAAATCAAAAAGGCAGATGCAGAGATGGAAAGCAAATGTTTAAAACGAAAGTTTGATTATAATCCATTGTTTAAAAACGACCCAATATATGATTCTTTATGCATGTGGGAATTCGACACTTCGCACAAAAAAATTGGGATTTTCATAGTTTATTTGTATTTTTATTTTATTTTCTTTTAATTTTGCAAACGGTCGAAACCCTAAATCGGGACCCCACCTCCTATCCCTTCTTCGTTAAGGTTTTGCCTTTCCAACCACCGTAATCAGCGGATGATATATATATATATATATATATATATATATATTTTTTTTATTATTATTATTATTATACTCGCATAATATATTTCTTCGGCGGCTCAAATTTAAATAATAATTTAATATTTTTTTAATTAAATTAATTTACGAAGAAATGAAAGATATTATGTACGCAAACAAAGTGCATTTTATTTTTCGGTGGTTGAACTCTATAGCTAATATGTTCTAATGTTGAACGACTTTTTATAAATTTTTCAAGAATCCACGTGAGTGAGAATAAAACATACTAAAATTACAAGCATTGACTTGTGGGAATTAAAATAGCTCGTGTTAATTCGTGATTATAATTTTCGCACAAAACACAATAGAAGAACTCGTATTGATACGTTGGAAGAGTCTTTACTATGAATGTTGGAGTTATTAGATGCCAAACTGACGAGCGGTCTCATAAATTTATTTGCAAATATAACCATTAAAAACATGTGACCTATATAAAAGCTTTTATGTAATTTATTTTTATAAACTATTATAAATTATTATTGAATAGCAGTGGCAATCATTTATTTTAATATATGATTGATAAATTAATGATAATCATAAAGTATCTAAATAGAAAATATAAGTAAACATCACTTACATGTACCGTTAATTTCGTTGATAAATTATAAATTTTATTATGTGGTGATTAGGCTTTTGATTATACAAATTTTAAATTATTATATGGTTGGTTTTAACTTACAAAACACGACATTAATCAATGCTGTCTGAGTGTCGGCTGTTTGTTTATGTTTTTTTTTTTTCCTTAGTTTTATAAAATTAAAATTTTAATTTTTTGACAGAAAATTTGTTGAAAAAATAAATAATATACATTGTGTGTTTGTCACGTTAAAAGGCATAATCTGCATATAATAATGAAATTAGGTGCCAAAATATAAAAAACTAAATAACTTTCCACTTGAATTATGGTTAATTCAATTTTTTTTTTTTTTTTACTTTTCGCCTAAAATAAATGTGTGGTGTGTTGGAGGATGAAAGTCCCACGTCCGCTAATTTAGGGAATGATCATGGGTTTATAAGTAAGTGGACAATATCATACCATTATAAAGAGTCGTGTTCATCTAATGTGATATAAACTTAGTCATATCAATAGATTGGTAAATCCTCAAATAACTCCAAAAGAAAATGAGTCGAGTCTTGATTAAGAGACGGCGTACTTTGTTCGAGGGGAGGTGTTGGATGATGAAAGTCATACGGACAATATTATATCATAGTGTATTAAATTATCATTAATTGTTTTAGAAAACACTACTTTAATCATTTTTTTCAATGGATTAAAATATACAGTATTCGTTTAAGAGATCATAGGTTTGAACCCCATTGATGAAAAATTAGATCATCGACTTTTTAAACAATAACAAATGTATTGTCCAGTGATCTATGTTTGACTAATACCATAATTATTTTAAGCTGAGCCCATACACGTTACCAACTACCCTTAATATGGAAAGCTAAACTAAAAGCTACGTCGATAAGGAAGGGACTTCATTACGTGGGAAATGACAAATAAATTTAACAAAAATCTGAATTTTGTTAGAATAATACTATTTTTAAATATTTTTAATCATTGTATTTATATGTAAATATTTAAACAAAAATGCCTTTTATTATAATTATTTATTAGTTATATGATAGAATCATAATAAAAATGGTACATTTTTTTAATGATGGGAATATTATTGAAACGACGCCGTGACAATGACATGACACTAAGGAAAGGGTGAGAAAAGAAAAGATATGCCTTTTATTCTCCTTTTGGGAATAATTTTTAAAATGGTTTAAGTTTTTATTTATTTTATTTATTTTTTAAATTTGCATCCATTTAGTTTTATTTTTATAAATAAAATGAGCCGGGATAGATGGTTTTGGGCCCATAGCCCAACGACATATCAGGCCATTGGATATAAACGTTTTGATTGGGCCTAGGATTAGGGCTACAGCCCAGATATTAAAAAATAATAAAGAATTAATTAATTTATTATTGTATTGGAAAATAAATAGAAATTCACGTGTTGCTCACAACCCGACCAGTCGCCAGTTCGACAAAACGGCGCCGTTGGGTCGGTGAGAATGGCTGATAACAGAGACGCGAGTCCGGCAAAGGCGAGGCGAGGATTGAGAATTCCGGCCGGGGATCCCAATCGCCGGCCACCGTAGGCTCCGACAGCGAAGAGTCTAGATCTACCCCGAGGAGGACCCAGTCAGTGAGAAAGTCCGGTAAGTCAACGCGGAATGGGTCAACGATGGGTGTTAGTCAACCATTAGCAGAAGAAAACATTATCGTAGATGAAAAATGCAAGACGAACGCTGAGTTGCTTTGAAAAAATAAATGATATTTTATATTATACAAGAAGATTCAGTTAAAATTCTAAAAAGGGAAAATGACAAACTTGACCTTGTAAATTAAAATCCTCAGCAATCCAAGGGTTCCTGCAAGAGGGTAGTTTTGTCTATTGCATTTAGTTTTGAAATAATAAAATCGACAATAAAATACTCTATAATTAAATATTTACTATTTAATATAATCACTTATGTACAAATTAAAATTCATTTTTTTTAATCCTTAAAATTAAAATTAGATTACTAGCGATAAATATTTACTATTTAATATAATCACTTAGGGATTAAAAAAAATGAATTTTAATTTTTTTTATATGAATAAAAATAAAAATATGATCCTTAACTATCATTAAATTACTAGCCGATAAATGTTCATAAATGAGCGATAATATTTTCATTAATCAATTCATATTCAACTATCTCCTCGTATGGATAGAGTTGTCTTTAACGCTCAGAACTTTGATTCTAACGTTCGTTATCGTTAAATTTTCATAAAAACACAGTCACAAACCAACCAATAATTTTCAATTAAATATTAATTAGAAATAAATAAATAAATCACATTTATAATAAATAAAATGATGTTTTTTTGGAATTTGGTAATAAAAAAATGAAAAGAGGTAGCGTGTAGAGTGGCATGAATGAATGGGACATAAATCGCCGTCCACTTTTGAGACGAATATCTGTTACCGTTATCTTCGGCGTTACGGGTGGAAGTGGCGGTGTTTTATTTACTTAGCTCACGGATTTTTTTTATTTTTTTTATTTTTTTTATTTTTTTTATTTTTTAATTTCAGAGTCAAATAAATAAATAAAAATTAATGAAATAGTCTTCAAATTTCGCACCATTTCACAAAACCCTATTTAAAATGACGGAATCCGTCGGCGATCTCCGACTTGTCTTTCTTTATCTTTCTTTGTACTCTTCCATCCGAAATTGGGGAGCAAAAGTCCCACACGAACTTTCTCTGAATTTTACTTCCTTTTAGTGAATGAATTCCGCTGCTTTTGTAGTTCATGGTGGTTTCAGATGAGTGAATGAAGCGGGTTTTGTGTGAATCGCCGGGGTGGATTTTGGATTATAAACGCTTGTCGTCGGTTTTTGCTTCGGTGGCTGGAAAACAACGATTTGTCGTTGCTGGTGGCTGTTTGTTTTTATCATCATGTTGATGGCGGCGGATGAGGCTTCTAATTTGCCTCTCCAGTATGGTTCTGATGATTTTGGTGAAGACATGTCCATTGACTATGAAACGTTAATACATCTACTGAGCGAGGATCTGGATCCTTTGCAGGTAGGTTTTGTTGCTGTTGGTTATAGAACAATACTGATTTTCCTTTTTTGAAATTGAGTTTAGAGGCCTTAGATTTTTGGGGAAACTGTAGCAAACAGTTGCAATTCCCCCTTTCTAGGTTAGGACCCCTTAGAAATTGGTTGGTGCTTTGAGCGTATGATCCGTGCTAACAGCTGATTCACCCAAAAATTCAGAATAAACGAGTTAAGCTCATAGTACAGAGCACTTGACATCGCAACTAATGAATGAGATAAAATTGAAAATTGGCTTTATAATATTCTATCATTATTTCACTTGTTTCCTAGGAATTTGTTCAAAAGAGCGCAGAACTCATATATCTCTACTTCTTTCTGTTTATGGACCATTTTTAATTAATTTTAAACTGGATATATACGAAAGCAACATTGGACTTGTACCTCTAAGCTAAGTTGAGAAATAAGGGGATAGCAAAGGGCATGGGTTTTTGGTAGACTTTCCCTTTGCGTGTTATATTATATCTTCTCACGGGGTACCTGCATAATCTTTACATTATATCTCACTAGAACTTTCTCTTGGCTATTTGTTTACAAATATCGCAGGATAAGCCAGAGGACTTGTCGCCATATAATGCATCGGCTGGCAAACCAGCTTCTGATTCTTCCAACCAAGAGAATTCCAAACTGCAGAACGGTTAGTATGAATGAATATGAGAGACTTTGACTTCCTCTAATGCTCAGAGTAGTAGGATGTGTTACCTTGAATTCTTACGTCAACTTCATGTATACCCACCATCCATGGCTATATTGGGTTTTTGGTTTTATATGCATAAAGGTGCACCTCAAGAAGCTAGTTACTAGAGACAACGTCCAAAAACTAGATTTTTATCTCTTACCTTCTTTAGTTATTCCCAGTTTACAGAAAGTAGGAAGTGTTTGAAGTCTTTCAAAAATTTATCTCTTCTGTTCGTTTTTCCTTGTCTAGTGTTAAATAATGTTATTTTGAAGTTCCAAGGGTGGCTCCCCATCGTGAGAAGCTGAAAGGTTTTGTTTTAAGAGAAGCTCTAGCAGCTTTTGCTGCTGGATCAAACTCTTTTCAGGTTTTAGACTGAGGCCTTAGTCCTTTAGCTTTATCTTTTCTTGATTTTATGAGCGGAAAATACTAGTGTAACCATTTGGCAGATGCAGTGACGTTTTGCACATAACGTTTCTTGATGATTCATACTTGGTCTAAGAACTGGCCTTTCTCTAGTAACATTAAATGCTTCCCATCATTTATTGCCTTTTCAGTTGGTCTCATTATCATAAGCTGGCATTTTCATCTTGATATGTTGTTTTGACAATGCAGATATATCTCATGGTTTCATGGATGTAACTTTGAAAAATCATAACATTTTGGATGATAAGGGCACAGAAGCCTTGAGATCCTCAGAAAATAATTCATGTGCGTCAGTGGAATTGCATTTGTCTGATGCAGAGCATTCTTCCATAGAAGTGATTCCTACCGAGTCCGCAGTAAACCAAAGTTTTGATTTTGCGACTGATGTTACTGACTCTTATTCAGACATGCCATACTGGATGAGTACCGTGGAGCAACCTTTTTTAGTTTCTTCTCAATACTTTCTTCCAGGAGATTATGATTCTTCAGTTTTTTCTGGAAATGGGGGCATGGCAATCAACATGATGATGCATGAAGGAGAGTTTCCATCCAATAGCCTGTCCTCAAGGACTACAATGAATTTGTATGCACAGGGGGCTACTGATCACAAATCAGTATCGAGACAGTCAGTCTCAAAGGATTTAAATCTTGATGGCTATCCAAATGTAAAGGGATGGAATCAAAATTGTGAAGGTGGAAACTATTCATTTCATGCTGATGAGCTTTGTATTGGTCAGACATCCTTGGAGCTTCCAATGTCTACTGAGTTGAATTCATCTTGCAAAGAGCTTGTTAACCAAGTGAAGAATGAAACGATGGATTCACTGGTTGAATCTTGTAGTGGCCCATGGCAATCTATGATGGAGGAAAACATGTTTTTTCCATCCGGAAGAGTTTTTCATTCTGAAGATATGGTTTGTGGAACATCCAGCAGACTCTCCATTGGTGGCAGGTATCAGAATTTATACATAACTGATCAATATTCTCCCAATGATTATTCATCTAGTTTAAGCAATCAGCCTTTGGCTTTCATCAAGGATGATAGAGATCATAAATTGACTCCATGTAAGAGTGATATAGATCATCTACTAGTCAGCCCTGAATCAACTCATAGTAATTTGTCAGGCAAGACCCAAGTGGAGGATGATCCAGATATCTGTATAATTGAAGATTTGAGTCATCCCGCACCATTAAACCAATCTCTTGTGGTTGGAAATTATGTTATTGCTTCACAAAGTTGTTCTATAGTCGGTGGTTCTTCCGCTTATGTGGGATTAGGAAGCATGAGACCCAAGGCCAAAGACATGGACATCTTAAAAGTTGCTTTACAGGTTAGTTCTGTTTAGTTTTGTTTCTGCAAATTGTAACGCGCAGAAACAATGTCCTTGAATGTAAATGAACATTTATTCCTAGAGTTTTAAAACAATTTCTCTCTCCAACCTGTTTCCTCCATTTACAATTGATTTTTTTTCTTAAATAACTAAATGGATCCTTAGGTGATAAGTATGGAAGTATGTTGACAATTTAACACAATTTTAATCAGAAGAAAAAAAAAATTGAAGCTGTATAATGAAATTGTTTGGGATTCCCTCATTTGTTTATTTTATCCATCAATGAAATTGTTTCATTGAGAAAAGAAAAATAAAAAATCAATAGTTTGTCCATCACTTACGAAACAGTATTTAGGTTGGGCTATCAGATACTTGTGAGGTCTGACACAGACATGTTTGTTGTTAATTTTTTTATACATATTCTTCTACATGTTTTTCAGACAAACAAAATATATATTTAACAGTTACTGACAAGGGTGTAGCTCATTTATTCTTTGCAATTTCTGTTATTGCATTTCTCCCCAGCTTCTGTTTTGACGTTGCAACACAGATGCAAATTTTGTAGTTAATTATTGTTTGACATCCTGACTGTATCCACTTTTGTTGCATACATTCTTGTTTGTGTTCTGACATTTGGGATGGTATACTTCTCGTAAAACTTTAACCTAATTTTGTATCATTCTCTCTAGAGTTTGTTTATATGACGGAGAAGTTGATAAGACTCAGGTTATTGAGCTTTGCAGGATCTTTCTCAACCAAAATCAGAAACTAGTCCGCCTGATGGTGCTTTAGACGTTCCTCTTTTAAGGCATCAGGTTGTGTATTCTTTTATTAACACAACCTTTTCTTCCTTATTTGTATTTTTTAAAATTAATATGTGGTTGTATTATTAACTTTCAAGGATGTTTGGACAGAGAATTGCTTTGTCATGGATGGTTGAGAAGGAGACATCTAGTGTATCCTGTGCTGGGGGGATTCTTGCTGATGATCAGGTTTCAACTAAGAATTTGTTTAATATATATAGAGATAATATGAAGTTTATTTTCCCTTCTGTATTGACATGGCGAGTCACTTGCAGGGATTAGGGAAAACAATATCAACGATTGCTCTAATACTGAAGGAAAGGGCTCCTATTAAAGCTTGCTCAAATGATAGGCATGATGAGTTGGAGACTTTGAATTTGGATGATGATGATGATATACTTCCTGAGCTTGATGTGCCAAAACAAGAATTCTATCATCAAGTTTCACTGAGTAAGAATTTAACTATTAGCAAAAACAATTTGGTACAAGCTAAAGGCAGGCCAGCTGCTGGAACTCTTGTTGTTTGTCCAACAAGTGTATTGAGGCAGTGGGCTGATGAATTACACAATAAGGTTTCTAGTAAAGCTAATCTGTCAGTGCTTGTATACCATGGAAGTAGTCGAACTAAGGACCCTTGCGAGCTGGCCAAGTATGATGTTGTTCTTACAACCTACTCAATCGTGAGTATGGAGGTACCAAAGCAGTCTGTTGTTGATGAAGAAGAAGATGAGAAACGCCATACAGAGGAACAAGCTATTCTACCCATGCAATTTTCTCTAAGCAAGAAGAGGAAAAACTTCTCTGGTTCTGATAAGAAACAATCGAAGAATAAGAAAGCAGTGGACAATGAAATTTTTGAATCAGTTGCCCGCCCTCTTGCTAAAGTGAGGTGGTTCCGGGTTGTATTGGATGAAGCCCAGAGTATCAAGAATCACAAGACACAAGTGGCTAGGGCCTGTTGGGGTCTGCGGGCAAAACGTAGGTGGTGCTTGTCAGGAACTCCTATTCAAAATGCTATTGATGATCTTTATAGCTATTTTAGGTTTCTCAAATATGATCCCTATGCTGCATATAATTCGTTCTGTTCAGCAATTAAGGTGCCAATCAACAAGAATCCATCCAAAGGATACAAAAAACTTCAAGCTATTTTAAGGACAATAATGTTACGTCGAACAAAAGGTGAGAACACTTGAAACTTCTGTGTATCAATTACATGGTCTGAAGGATTTGGAATTAATTATAATAATACTCTGTCTTCGGTTTTCTCCAAAAGTTGAAAGTCTTGTTTCCTGCTTCTTGACTTTCAAGTTTGATTGACGAATTTGATTTATATATGTCCTCTAGGGCGAGGAGGATTGTCCCCACGGCTATGATCTGATTCACATGGCCTTTCCATTTATTTTATAAATTATAATATAGTCTTTCTGATTTTTGTTGCCTTGCTGATGTTTTGAGAAATTTCTTGAGTTTTACCATGTACAGGAAGTTTTCTTTTTATTTAAAATGGAAAATAACTTGATGACGTTCTTGAATCATGGTAAGATGATGAGCTGGTAGTCTTGTTGGTCGCTTTTATGAGTTTGCTTTGGAGTGGTCTGAGGAATTGGGCTTTATGGATATCAGATCTGCCAGCCTTATTTGAAATTCAATTAAATTGAGATTAGCCACGAGGCTTAACACGTAAATCACGTGAAAGCACCAGGATAATTTCTTCTGACGACAATATGCCATTTTTTGAACTTTGTTGGACAATTGTATTATCATTTTAATGATGTAAATAATGTACCTCATTTCCCTCGTTTTCTTGAGTTTCTAATAATTGATTCCTCGTGACCTATTTTATTTAACTTAACTTGATTCTAGTTGCTTACTTTGTAAGATGTAACATTCAGACGATTTTGTTGGGCAATTTCATTAGTTTTTATTTGGTCCATGTGGTGGATTCTGTTTGAACTCCGCATTTTACTTTTCTCTGCCATTGCACACACTTTTTGATATTTTATGAACTTACCAATTTGACTAGGATCATTCTACGGCTCTTCTTGTGTAGGCACACTTCTTGATGGGCAACCCATTGTTACATTGCCACCCAAACACGTGGAACTGAAAAAGGTGGATTTTACTGAGGAAGAACGTGATTTCTACTCTAAATTGGAGGCTGACTCAAGAGCTCAGTATGAAGTATGTTTTGTTCAAAAGGAAATTGTGTGTAGTTCGTTTTGTTGCCTTGTGCATGGAATTAATTTCAGTTACAATATCTAATTACCTCCTGCCTCTTTCTATCATTACTTACTAAGAACCTTCTCCAGGAATATGCAGCAGCTGGAACTGTTAAACAAAATTATGTGAACATCTTACTGATGCTTTTGCGCCTTCGACAAGCTTGCGATCACCCTCTTCTTGTTAAACCATACGACTCTAAATCTTTATGGAGATCTTCAGTTGATGTGGCCAAGAAGCTTCCACGGGAAAAACAGATTTTCCTACTGAACTGTCTGGAAGCATCATTGGCTATTTGTGGCATCTGTAATGTATATCTTCTGCCCATTTCTTCTCTTTGATGTGATACTTTTTAGTTCTAGTATATTAGTATGGTTTAGTGTATTTTGGATTTAAATACCACATTTAGTTCCAAGTAACCGTTGGCTTATAAGTTATCATGAATTTGTTGACTTTTTGCTTAATATAAAAATTACAAAGCATGAAATTCTGATGCTCTTTTTATCCCTTATAACTGCTGAACATATATTGAGGCATTCTGTACCTTTGACGTTATATGTGAATTTCTCGCCTCAAAAACTGCTGTTTGGGCTCTGCATAATGCTTTCTTGTTATGTCAGAGATGTACGACATGTTTATATCGTAACACTCTGCAAGAAGGAGCTTTCTAGCTTCATTTTGTGACTTCATCATTTCTGATATTTATGCAGTTCCCCATGTTCTCTTTGTTATTCTGCTAATCTTTCATTTATCTGGTAAGAGATAAGCGGCATATTTCTTAAATCGAACTTCTGTGATTATTTCTGTAGGATCCACCTGAAGATGCGGTTGTTTCAGAATGTGGTCATGTTTTCTGCAAGCAATGCATTTTGGAACACCTCTCTGGTGATGATAGCCAGTGCCCTACCGCAGGATGCAAAGTTCGTCTCAATGCATCTTTGTTGTTTTCCAAGTCCTCATTATGCAATTCTCACTCCGACCAGCTTGGTGAGGACAATTCTGTGGTTAGCTCTTCTTCCACCGTTGGTGGCTCAGTGGAGCCCTCGTCATCAGTTATGTACGAGTCTTCTAAAATTAAAGCTGCTCTTGAGGTTCTGATGTCATTGGCCAAACCCAAGGAATACTCTTCAAAAAACAGCCCTGCCCAACTTGCTGTTGTCGGAGCCAGTGAGAAATCAATTGATGCTCCATCCACTGAACCGCAACTGGGAGGTTCCAAGTGTCAAGATTCTACAAACAAAAGCTCTGGCGAATCAATTGGAATAGGTGTAGAAAAAGCTATAGTCTTTTCTCAGTGGACGGGAATGTTAGATTTGCTTGAAGCAGGTCTAAAAAACTCCTCCATTCAGTACAGAAGACTTGATGGTACCATGTCAGTACTTGCTAGAGATAAAGCAGTAAAGGATTTTAACAATGTTCCGGAGGTTTGTCAAACGAACTGGCCCTACACTTGAGTAGTTTTCATAGATTTTTATAATCGCATATCTGTATTGTATGCTGCATGTCTTTTCCTTTCTTTTCTGTTTATTGATAGAAATACTGCCTGTTATTTTTACCTTCCAACTTGTTTGCATGATAAATATGATTCAGGAATTTCCCTTATGATAGGTGTCAGTTATGATCATGTCTTTGAAAGCTGCTAGCCTTGGTCTAAACATGATTGTTGCCTGCCATGTTCTTCTGTTGGACCTCTGGTGGAATCCTACAACGGAAGATCAAGCGATTGATAGAGCACATCGAATTGGACAAACTCGTCCTGTTACAGTGTTGAGATTAACTGTAAGAGACACAGTTGAGGATCGTATTTTAGCCCTTCAGGTACTGGTCATATGTTTCACTTTCAATTATTGATTTGAGTTCTTGATTGTTCTAGATTGATCAAAATCCAGTTTATTACTATCCAGATGCGCAATCAGTTAAGTGAAGTTTCAAAAACTTTAGTTTTGCCTTACCAAAAGTTAGTTGGGATCTAGGAAAGACAGACACTTATTCAGTACTAGTTAGCATAATAGACGTGTTAGTTTAGTTGAACAAGGTTATGTTGGTCAGACATAAATAGATGTAAATAGTAATCTAGGTCAAAAGTAATAAATGAGAGAAAAGCATCCAACTTATTTTTTAAGCATGTAAATGTAAATAAATATATAAGAATTTGAATTTCCTTGTATGAAGATGATATATATTTAGGAAATTGTATATTTTGAATTTTGAAAATTTTGAAATTTGGGTATCATAATCTATTTAATTCTTAGATTTCAAAAGCTTACATTTTCATCCCTAAGATCGAGGAAGTATGAGTGTCTGAATCTATTTAGTTCTTAAATTTCAAAATCTTACACTTTCATCCCTATGACCGAGGAAGTATGGGTCTTAGAATCTATTTAGTTCTTAGATTTCAAAATCTTACATTTTCATCCCCAAGATTGAGGAAGTTCATTTTAGTACTTTGATCATTAGTCAACCTACAGGAAAGTGACGTGCAATAGAATAAGTGTGATTCAACCATTTAAAAAAATTGAAAGAACAAGAAAAACTCTCTCTCTCCCCCCCCCCCCC